CAGGTTGGCTTCTTATATTGGGCGCACCATGTAATAAAACTAAGGTTTGATCGCAGCCCGCAGGGTGGCCTCCTGTTGTGAAGCGCCTGATGATGAACTAGGAGTTGTGAGAGACGTACCCTTAGGTAGTCTCGCGCGCGCGTGGTATTGAGAAAATATATATATATATATGAAAATATCTCAATAGAGAGGGCCTAAGTCCAAGTGAGAATAGAAGGCACCCGACCGGTGGATACCTTGGGACTCACAGTATATTGTCGCAGTGTGTGATATCGAGGCTCCCTAGGCCAGTGATGCAGACCACCCACGTTATAGGAGAGGATGGGCGCATGTGAGAGGACGTATCGCTCAGTCGGGGTTTCGGGTGACGACCACTCTATGCGATCAATTTCACGAGATGAAGATGTATGTTGAAGGTGATATTGTTTTGTAAGCCCAGTTTACTGGTTGCGACAATCTCATTTTGCTTAGATCGGCACATGCTGTGTCTAATATAAATCTACGATGACGGATGACGATATTGTATATCGGCGATGATACATGCTGTCTTAGTTATTACACGAGCTGAGATCTGTATATATATTCCTAAACACTCAATTGTAGTGTATAGTGTTGTGGTTATAGTTCTGTATTACATTAATAGATCTACTTATAAAGCTCGATCATAATTCTTGGTCTTAAAATCTTCAGGGGGAAGTAAGTATTCTCTTCTAATATCGATTTAGGATAACGTTTCCTTCGACTGCAGGGCACTAAAGGAATTTTCTCTAGTTCCATAATTATTTCACTATGATAAACTTGTATGTATAGAGTTTTTATATAGGCACTATTGGAATATATTTTCAATCAGTTAGTAATGGAACTACACGCAGTTGTAGAATTATTATACATTTAGTTGTGGTAATTTACATGACGAAATTATTTTGTGAGCCATATTAAAAAGTGATTGTATTGGTTAATTGGGCTCAAACTGTGAAATTGGTAGCTGATAAATTTGGGCTGAAACTTGATAATCGGGATCTTGAGGTTTACCCTTTTTTTCTCTTTATAAATTATGAAGCTGACCGTTTAAACATTATTAGTAAGGTAGTAATTAATTTTTAGTATTTCAGGCTTACTACGGGCCTCGGGGGCTTTAAGCTTACCTGGGCCCTAGTGCCGGTCCGGCCCATGGAATCGGGTCGTGACAGGCAGCCAGACTGAGATCAATGGGAATGGATGTGAGTAAATCCTTTTTAGTTCAATTTATTATTAACTCACTTGCTCTTGAGTTTGGTCAGTTCCAGGTGAATTACAACTCCCTTAAGAAAAAATGGAACATTCAGAAAATCAAGACCATGTTGATATAAGAGGAAGGGAGATTAAAGAAATTGAAGAAACACTCTATCAATCTCTCATTTCATAATGGATTTTTCATAGGATATTCTGAAAAGTCAAAAGGGTATAGATTTTATCGTCCTAACCATAGTACGAGAATACACATAGATAATTAAGCATTTAAAATTTAAAATTTTACTATTATTATCTTATTATGTCTAAGTATGTTTTGTTTCATTATATTATTAATAATAATTAAATAATTTTAGTAATTTATTAAATTTATCTTCAACATTATTATTTTAAATGAATATATGTAAATATGAGGCCTTTGAAAATTTTTATTTTTTTGAATTTATTTTAAATAAATATATAAAGATAATTAAGATTTTGATTTAAAAATGGAATGGTTAAATTTCTTTAATTATAAATTGTGCTCTAATTTGATTGGCTGAAAAATAAGATAAAAAATTATTATGTTTAAACATCTCAAATTTGATTAATTATATTGATATCGTATTTAATTCAAATCCTACCCTTTCTATTAAGGAATATAATTTTAACAATAAAATTTTTAAATAATTTCACGATTTTGATTGGCCAAAAAAATAAAATAAAAATAATTATTATTTATAGATATTTAATTTGGTTTATTAGATTAGTTTCCTAAAAGAGATATAGTGAAATTTATTAAAAAATATTTTAAAATTTTAATTATTAAATGAAAAAAAAGCTTATATGATGATTTTTTTATAAATAAAATTTGTTTACCTTAACAAAAATAAAAAGCAAACAGCGTTTTATAATAAAAAAACTATATAAATCAGTATATTGTAAGAGAATATAAATGGACATATTCATAATTAATAAAATATTTAAATTAATTATAAAATGTAAAATAAAAGCTATATGATGATTTTTTTATAAATAAATTTGTTACTTAAACAAAAAATAAAAGCAAACAGCGTATAATAAAAACTATATAAATCAGTATATTGAAGAGAATATAAATGACATATTTCATATTTAAATTACTATTTTAAAGAGAAAAATAAATATCAATTTTTTCAATGAGATGTTACAGTGCAAGATATATGATTAAAAAGAATATTTTACTGTATATATAAAAATCACTATATTTATTATAATTTAAATAAAAATTTATACTTTAATTATATAAATAAAAAGCTAACGAATATAAAAAATGAAGATATAACGAGAAATGAGGTATAAATTTTAAGATTTTGGTTTATAAATTATTGAGAACGGCGAAGCAAGAAAAGCCAAAAATTATACAATTACCTTAAAAAGGTCCTACCGGGAGTCGAACCCAGGTCGCTGGATTCAAAGTCCAGAGTGCTAACCACTACACCATAGAACCGTTGATGTCTAAGGTTTCACATTTTAAGGTTGTAATCTACATTGCTTCTAAAATTATCTTATAGGAGACGTACCCAATTTGAAAGTAAATATAAATATTTACACATATGACCACAATTTCAGTTCTAAAAAAGATGGAAATAAAATTAAACTGATAGATATTAGTTTCAAAACTGTGAATGGACATTTTTAAAAAAGTTTTAAAATTGATTTAAGCTAAAAAAAAAATTAATATCCCAAGAACACGGAGGGTGGGAAAAAGTCAGCAAAAGAGAGACCGCATTGTGGGCTTTTATTTTCTTAATTTATTTCGATTATTAAAAGCAAAATTAGGTCAGTTCTAAAAGATAAAGAATCAAAATTGAATTATAATCACATAATTTTGACTAATAATTAGAAACTATAAATTATTGACCATAGTTTGGTTCTAATTTTCTCTAGTATGATTTTAATTTAAAACTGAATCATAGACATGTCTAATTCATAGATAAAATGGATTATTTAGGCCATATTTAATTCAAATTGATTTGCTTCGAAAGAAGTACGATTCTAAAGAAATTACTCTTCAAAAAGTATGATTTGATTATTGGTTGATATGTCTTTTTTTTTTTTTAAGTACAGGTGATTCGAACGTGAATATATTATCAGGTCGTATATGCACTCTCTCATTTTCTCCTTTTCTTCTATTTTGGTAATCTATCTTTTCTACATTTATTCACAAATTTTTAATTTTTTAGGATGAAATTAATTTATCAATTATTACTTTTTGCAGGGAAGAAAAAAGTTTCAATCTACAGTAAATCATATGGAGTTTTAATGAAATAAATATCCTAAATCTACCAAATAAAACTAAATTCAACTTAGTAATACATAAAAATTCTTAACAAAACTTAAACTCCAATCCTATTTAGGTTGTGGTCTGCAATAATCTTTTAAGTTGCTTTTAAATATTTTTTTTATAGTGTTCGGTAACATAATATTGGTCAAAACGCTAAACACTAATTTTATAGCGTTTGATAACATAGTATTTGAACTAACTTTTAGAAGTTTTTTTATAAAAAATTAACCATGTAACATTTAATTTTTAGTTGTCTATAAAAAACTATCTAAACGGATAACAGTTAAATACTACAAAAACAATTAATTTTAACGAACAGACCATTATATATACTTTTAGAAAAATTGACATTTTAGCTATTTATGAATGATATTCCATAACAATAAATTTTTCTTTTCTAATGATGGTTAAATTTCATCAAAATCTTCTTAAATTACCGGATTATTATAATTATTTTTTTTCTTTCATTGAAAGCTAAATAAGTCAGAAAAAAATATTATGGGATATAGCAAATAGTTTACCCCTTTTAATTACCGTCACTAAATAACTACTTTTTTTTTTCATAATAAGAGAGGGGAATTTAAAAAATCAAATTTGAACTTTGTGGAAATTTTTTAGAAATCGATTCTTTTTATGTTTTATAATTGAAAATAGGAAGAAGAAAATATGAAATCTTTGTCTCAAGAAGCCAAAGAAGCATCTTTGAAATGTATGTAGTTGTTAGAATCCTTGGCTACTCAAACAACTCCAATGAATAAAAATATGAGAGGTTTGTTGCACTTAGCTCAGCTATATTTCGGATAATAATATAATATTAAATTATAAAAATTAAATACATTGATGATTTTGTCAAATATACAGATCAAGGTGCTACCAAATGTTTATGATAACATTAATAAAAAATAAAAAAATAAAAAAAACTTTTAGGTTGTGAGGGTTTTATGCAATGGATAATTAATATTGCTTTAGCCCTATTGGGAGCCTATATTAATCTTTGCTTATTGTTATAGTAAAGGCAACTGCCTTAAATGATTTTACATTTTTATATCTAGTGCATGGTTTATACATTTAATATGTTTTGTTGGATTTCAATCTGATCGGAATCCATTTCTGAAGTCGATCATATTAATTGCGGAGCATGTATTTACAGATATTAATTTTTCTTGGTAGATTGAATTCAGAAATTAGAAAATATAATTCGAACCTTATCCATAATCGAGTTTAAGTGTTACAATTGGATGGTAGAATTAAAGGAAGAAATGAATTATTTTTTTGATTATGTAGAAATATATGTGACCTACTACATAATTAAAACATTAATTGAACCTTTTCCCTTTGACTTAATTACAAATGGCTTCCATCACCTCTAGTTATTAATTCATGTCTCTACTTGCTCCCAGTTGTTCCCTCCATCCATTCTTCTATAAAGGCCTCCCTAACTTGTTTTTTCTTATGAAACAGAAAGCAAAACAAAATATGGGGAAGCTACAACTAATATTAATGGCTTGCTTTACAGTAATAGCTATGCCAATGGTCAATAGCATTTTTCAAGATTCCAGAGAAATTGATCAATGGATTCATGAGCTCACTCATGCTAAGCAGAAAGTGACTCATCTCCATTTCTACTTCCATGACACATTTTCAGGCCCAAGCCCAACTGCCATAGTGATAGCCCGGTCCAATATGACAGATAAGTCTCCAACCTTATTCGGCCTAACGACCATGATTGATGACCCACTTACCGAAGGGCCTGAACTGGACTCCAAAGAAGTGGGCCGGGCTCAAGGGTTCTACGGATCATCCGGTCAGAAAACCGTCGGTCTTCTCATGGCCACGACCCTAGTTTTCACAGGTAAAGAGTATAATGGCAGTACTCTTACGGTTTTGGGCCGAAATCCGGCACTAGAACCCCACCGTGAGTTACCGATCGTCGGCGGGACTGGAGTTTTTCGATTGGCACGTGGATTTGCTATGCTAAAAACATATTCTTTTAACTCAACTACTGGTGATGCCATAGTTGAATATCATGTTACAGTTATACATTATTGAGAGATGATGTGATGATCTTTATTTTCTTCTCACTCTCTCTATATATATATATATATTTTTTTTTTCTCACTCTCTCTAATATATATATATATATTTTTTTTTTTTTTTTTTGGGGGGGTTTTTTTTTTTTTTTTTTTTGGGGGGGGGTCAAGTCGGTTTGAGAATCTTTCATTTTTATTACATTTGGTGGATCGTAATAAAAAAAAAAAAAACTTATTTATATTTTATGAAGCCTATATTTAATAAGCCGTAGTAGAATTAATATAATGTAGTAAAAAGATTTTTGTTAATATAAATTTACATTAAAAATGTCCTTAATTATGTTATATTACGTCGGAACACAAGTTACCAATCATAACATAAGTTTCATTACAACTCTCCAAATACAACTTGATTTTATTTATAAGGATTTGTTCTATGAATTTTTTTTTTCCAAACTTTGTTTTATGATGTGTTTGATTGGTTAAATATGTGGAATTGAAATCGAACCAGAAACCGACGGTTTCGATTATGGTTTGGAACCGAATAATTACGGTTTCGATTTCGGTTCCTTAACGATTCCAAAACCAACGATTTCGACCGATTTTCCAATTGTTTATCTGGCGAATCGCATAATTATAAAATAAAAAATAATTTAATATTTTTTTTGAAGATTTAAAATTTAAATATTTATAAAAAACTTTTTTGAAAAAAAGGTTTTAAGAAAAATAAAAAAAAAAGGCTTGAAAAAAATTAGATATTGGACTTTGGACAAATTATTTGACAATAATTTGAACAATTATAAATGGGAGAGCTTAGAGAGATTGGAGAGCAGAGAACAGTAGAAATAATTTTGTGTGAGGATAAATGAAAATAATGGGTATTTATAGTAAATCTAAAAAATCAACTTTCCTTATTAGAATGGTTAATTTGGGGATTTCACAACAACTTTTAAAAAAGTAAAAAAAATTTATTGAGAACCGCCGGTTCTAACCAGTTAAAAAAATCACCGGTCCGGCCAAGTTTTAAAACTGACAATTCACGATTCCTCAAATCTTGAAATCAAAATCGGACCGCAAAACCCAGATTCCAACTTCGATTCTTCGATTCTCACCGATTCCAAACCTTCTGAAAACCGGAAAATGGTCATGCCCACTATATGCTGGTGCCTAGATTCCACCTTCGATTCTCACCGATTCCAAACCTTCTGAAAACCGGAAAATGGTCATGCCCACTATATGCTGGTGCCTAGATTCCACCTTCGATTCTCACCGATTCCAAACCTTCTGAAAACCGGAAAATGGCCATGCCCACTATATGCTGGTGCCTATGAATAAGAGTGCTTGGCTTCAACTAACCAAACAAAATAATATTAGGTCAACTATTCAACTATAACAACTTCGGGTGGTCTCTCAGGCTTTCAGGTTAACCACAAACACAATAACCAACTCTGCATGACAACATTTCAATTTTAATTTTAAACAGGACTAACTGAAAATGAATTATCGACATTAAATGATGATTAACAGTTTTTGATTTATCGGGAGATCCATTTGTTCGAAATAACATTGCGAGTTATATAATAAAAAATAGTCTCTTTTTAGCTTACTAAATTAGTGAAACTTCTGAAACTTGTAATTGAGAGCACTCAAATTCGAAATTTTTCACTCTTCACATAAGTGAAAAAACCAACTAAATCACACTTGATTGGCAAATTGTTACTTTTAATCTCTAAAATTTAACGAAATTCATGAGTTAGAAGTTTTATTTTAAAAATCAAATTAATTAGACTTTAAAACTACAATCCATCAATGAAATAATTCTTGTACATTGAAGGAGCCATGCTAAAATTAGTTTTAGCAAAACTTATATCATTATAATTATATTTTGAGTAAAGTTTTAACATATAAAAATATAAAATACCCATCAATAGGAAAAACATTACAAGGTGAATTTATATGCAATATGGATTAAAAAAAATTAGAACATAAATATTGATTATTATTTTATAATAGACGTCTGGTTGAAAAAGTATAATTTTCAAGAAATGAATATAGAAGTAAAAGTTGTATTAATTCTCTATCAATAGGGTTTGATTCTGAACCGAATTATGGTTTGATTTTGATTCTAATTCTTTAAGTCATTTTATTTTAGTTCTGATTCTTGTCGGAAATCAAATTAGAACTAGAATCTCACAGCTCTAAATATGAGAAGTATTTTTGGGTGAATTTATACATACCAAGCTTAAATGTCTTTATTTTCCATGGAATTGAATAAGAGATATGGACAGCCACCAAATGGAGCAAACAATCTCTCATAACATAAGTATTATGCTCTACTAACTAGATTGAACACTTCAAATCAATATTGTATGCTTTTATTCTTTATATAAGTGGTTTCTTATTAAACTTTCTATACACAAATATAAAACATGTTGAAAAATATCTATATATAGTTTCCTCTTAATAAAATTTTCAGTTTTATTTCTTCTAAAAGAAACATACACTTTAATTATTTATTTAATATTTCTTTTGTCTCATTTTATTTGTATGGTTTGACAAAACACGCATATTAAGAATTTAGTCAATAAAAATTATTTTGTTCTTTTGTACCCTTAGCTCGTTGAGATATAAATTAAAGTCTTTAATTTAATGAATAATGTTGTTATGGGAAAAATAATTATTTAAACATACAAATTTAGAAACCTTGCAAATATTTTGAAATATTTCAAAAAGAAACAAGTAAATAAAATAGGACGGGGAGTACTATATAAAAATCTTATTTTTTCAATAAAAGAAATGTTAAGACTAATTAATGCTTCAACTCCTAAGGAAATAAAGACATTTTAATAAGACACAAAAATGATAAGAAAAAAAAAAAAAAAAAAAAAACAAATAAAAAAAAAAAAACTCTTAGCATTTATAAAATTTTTAGAATTTGAATTCACTCCTAAAGTTAACATTACTTTCGAAAAGCTATTTCAATTTTTTGTCTATTTCTAATGTCATTTCCTTTATTATTTACTTTTTATATTAATATTTGGAATATCATATTAATTTATTATTTTATTAAATTAGTACTTATGTTTTATATTTTAGTAAAAAACTCACGATTCTCCCAAGAAAAAACATAAAAAAAAAAAAAAAAAAAAAAACTCTAGCATATAAAATTTTAGAATTGAATTCACTCCTAAAGTTACATTACTCGAAAAGCTATTTCAATTTTTGTCTATTTAATTCATTTTCCTTATTAATTACTTTTTATATAATATTTGAATATCATATTAATTTATTATTTTATTAAATTAGTACTTATGTTTATATAGTAAAACTCACGAATCTCAAGAAAACATACATAAATTAAAGATGTGTCATTATCCTAAAAAAAAAAGATGTATCATAATTTACATATTTTTTTCGTAAATTAGATAGAATTATGGTATATTCCAATTGTTTATAACAAAACAAAATTCAATATTTTCAAAATTACTTATTAAAAACAATTTCCTTAGAAAGTAATTTTCATAATAATATTAAATTCCGGTCACTGTTCTGAAAAACAGACTAGACCGGCCAGTTCAACCAGAAACCGGACTGTGATCTGATCCGGATTGTATAAAAAAAACCAAATGTTTAAAAAATCAAATTGAACCAGTAAAAATCAGATGAAAATCGATTAAAAACAAAAAAATCAAACCGGTTAAAAACCGATTAGATTCAATTTCTGGATTTTTTTAGTGTGCACGTTTTTTTGAATTTGAGCATCTAAAAAATTGTCCACTGACTTTTTTGGGCCTGTTTATTTCTAAACCCAAAATTTTAATATGTCAATTAAATGAAAAATAATAATATATTTTATGTTAATTAATTATTTTTAGTAATGAATTTATTTATTTTTATTTTTTAAAAAAATTATTTACTAAATTTTTATTCTTTTTGTAAAAGCCAAATTTGAAAATACTTTTTATTTGAGTTCAAAAAAAAATTTTTACCTATATTTTCAATTTTATTTAATAAATATATTTACAAATATTATATCTACAATTCCAGTTGAATCATATTGAACCCGATCGAACCCTCCAGTTCAATGACTCCTACCTTCACCGGTTTATTGACCGGTCTGATTCTCAAGACACTGATTCCGGTAACTAAATATCCCATTCCTATCCCATTAAAGAAGTCTTCTATAAAAACTAATTTGCGCTGTCATTTTGTTTAACAATTTAACTAATAAAAAACACATTTCCAAATACAAAGAAAAATTTAGCCAATTTCAGAGAGGGAAAAGAAAAACACCTTACAAATTTGAGGGAGAAGTTCTCTTGTGAACTTCTAACCTTCTAGAGAGGGAAGAAATTCGCAAATGAATAATACACACAAACACCAAGACATTCAAGCTAGTCTGCTAATCACTTCCACCTCCATCACCACTGCCGCCATCATCTGCTGTCCTCAGTCACCGGGAACTAAGCTATCAAAAAGAATCCCCAAATGAGATTTAAAATCAAATCAAGATAGGTCCAAATGTCAGGCTCGCGGCAGCTATCCATGACATGTTTGAAAAAATGAGAAACTACCAAAGCTTTTATCTTTCAAAAATGTGCACAGGGAAGATAAACAATGTGATCCTAGCTTTAAACTACAAAGACAAGTAGATAACTAAATTTACATTGTCATATAAACCAATTTCTACACCCATAGAACGCTGTGAGGCGCACACTGGTTACAGTGGCTCAATGGGAACAAAAACCACCATGAAAATATTTTAACAAATAAACTACTGTCTCTATAATCAAAGAAAACATACTGTTGGAATTTTAGATTTGACAAAAAGGAGGCAAGGGTTCAAGGGGGGGAAAAAGAAAAGACATAAGCAGTTTTTTCACTCACTCTTTCAACAATGACCACCATCAAATGGCATATCAGAACAAGTTTAAAGTTGCCTATCATCCCCCGATTGCTGTGGCGGATATAACATAGTTTTCATCATTGTCAATACTGCATTTGTTGAGGGTAACCAAATATCTTCTTCAACAAAGGAAGGAGGCCAACTAAAGCTATTTGAAGCTGTTCTGAGCTATTTACTCTGATACTGATTTGCCCTGCTCCCTTGTTATTCAAATTCCCACGAGCAATTAAATTTGTAGACCGCCCTATGGGGACTTGTGATTGTATATTGCAACCAACAGCAAGATCTCCATGCCAATCCATGACAGATAGCCCAAGTGTTGAAAGGGAACGCCCCAAAGGATAGTCCTTGTCCCTCAGTTGAGCCTCCAAACTGCCACCATAAGCTACATCGCCACGGCCAGTCATGGCACCACCAGATACAACCATCCGAAACCGTTTATTAACAATCAATTTATCTTCAACTTTCAATCCAGCTGATAAGGCATCACCCAAGAGAGTGAACGAGAGACCGGCTGTTGCCTTGTTCTTCCTATAATTACTGAATCTAGTCTCACTACGTAAAGTATAAGCCAAGTCCTTTCCCACTGTCTGCATATCAAAACCTAGGGAAGTCGATTTCCCCTCCCCATGCTTTACAGAACTTGCTAATTCCATTTGAACATTGGCATCCTTCTTATCTTTTGTTACCTGGCTGGACAAAGATATGGGAATTTTGTCTTTAACTACAAACACTCTTTCTACATTTATTCCTTCATAACCAACATCATGATCCCAACCATGAGTTTCTAGAACAGGCCTTACGAGCCACTGGTTGGAGTTATCAAGATAACGATAGCGATGAGTGGGATTATCAGAATCAAACGAAGCAGGCAAGGCTAAATCTGGCATGGGAACTGGCACAGATGCAGCACCGCCACTTTCTTCTTCTAAATTTTCCGCATAATCACTGGGCAGATCCTTAGCTGCGGCTGCCATTTTCTTCATTATCTTTCTTCGCCTCTTCTCTTCCTTCAACTGTTTCTTCATAAAAAGTTTTTCCCTGTATTCTAACTCATCAAAATATGCCTTTTTCTGAGCTCTAGTAAGCTTGGCAACCTGGGCCTTCGTCAAACTTCTAAATGGTGGCAAATCATCATATTCAGACTCGTCCTCGGAATCCGATGACTCTTCCAAATCATCATCAAGACTATCCTCATCACCAAACTGTTCCTCAGGCAGCTTAAGTTGTGGTCTTGACTGGAGAAGGGATGAGAGCAGGAATGGTAAAGGAGGTGCCCTAGATCTAGCTGCAAAAGGCTTCCCAGGTGGACTATCTTGCAACTTCAGGAGTGTATTTGCTTCAGCAAGTATCTTTGATGCAAAAGAGAGCAATAACAGATGAGGTTTCCAAACCTGACCATTTGGCAACACTCTCTGCCCAGCCCTATTTGTTCTACATGCTGAGTGATTCTCTACTAATGAAACTGGATTCATGAGCCTCATATCACCAGCTGCCTGACGGATTGCTTGTTGAACAACATGAGAACGTTGAGTGACAAACATATCGTAAGTTGAAGTAGTACCATTTGGACCATCAGGTGGAGCAGATGCTGCATGAGTTAGAACTACAATTGCATTAAACCATATTGATGGACCAAATATCTCCGTGATGGTGCGCAAAAGAGGCATATCACCAAAATCCCTACTCTGCATGTCCAACCTGTCTAGATACAACACAATGTCTGGAGGAGTTTTCTTGATGAAGCGCTTAACAGAGTGAAGGATCTTTTCATTCTGACGCTGGTCAGAGCCAGAAGGAAGCAGACCTGGTGTATCGATGACCCGTACCTTAATCCCTTGAACGGTGCCCACAACATCCTGAACTTTTTTAGTACCTAATTGAAAAGCATCAGTACCAAACTTTACTTCATCAAATATTGAATTGATGGTTGCACTTTTACCAACCCCTGTCTTTCCAAGAACCATAATTGTACAAGAGAAATCAAGGGGTTCCTGCCCAGCCGCCTCAAGCTGCTCAGCCATAGCACTTGCACGATCAAAACTGAAGGCACCAACACGGCCACCATTTCTCCCTCGCAGCTGCTCAGCTAATCCCAGCCTGTACAGAACCTGTGCTACAACAACATTATGGGGAGTCTGACCTAGCCTATGGGCAAGACGCAAAAATTTCACCCTGATCATCTGGAGTTTCTCCCGAGTTTCATCGTACTCCTCACCCTCCCCACTAGTGGGGTCTTCAATCTGCTGAGATTGCACATGAGACATAGTTCCATTAACACGTTGATGATGCTGCTGCACTGCCCTAGGCGCAGGATCCAATAGTGGGGCTGCACGCCCAAGGCCAGCTGGGCGAGCAGGTGGGGGAGCAGGACCGGTGGACTTTCCAGATGATGAAGCAGGCTTTGCTGGAGGTGAAATTTCTTGTTTACCATTTCCTTGAGTGATTTGCTTCTCTTCCTGAACATTTTCTGGCTCCTCAATTACAACAGTATCCAGGCCATCTTTTTCTATTATCTTTTCTGACTCTTCAATCACATAAATGTCCTTGCCAACACCATTAACTTTTTCATCAGCTCGTGGTGGTTCCGAATCCTCGTTATCCCCTGCTTTAAGATGAGCTGCAGCAGCCCGAATGTCTTCACTACTCCCATTCACCAACTTCCCCGAGTGTGAGTGAGAAATTTCTGGCATCTCTGTTTCCTCCTCTGTATATGGCACAGCTTCAGTAGCATTCTGCAGGTGAGTTTCCGCAAGATGCTCAGAATCCACAAGAGCTGGGGCGTCAATCACATCTCCATTGCTATCATCATGGTGCTTCATGTCTAAACTTGTTGAATTATCAGTCTGCTTTTCAGTCTCAGGAACTCCATTCTCAGAATCAAGGACAATTGTATCACCTTTCAATTTTCCATTTTCCTCATTGTGAGATACCTTATCAATTTTGGGCAAATCGTCATGCAGACCTTCATCCTCTTGAAGCTGGACTGGAACATCAACAGATTCCCCGTTGTCCTTGTATTCAGTACCCGATTCATCCACCTTCAATTCTTTGTTACCATCACCAGATGAAATTTCCCTGCTTAGCTCAACATCCACCTCAACTATATCCTTCAAATTCTCAATTCCTCCATCACCACCAATCTCAGAGAACTCTTTTTCTTCATTCAATTCATTGCTCCCTTCTTCCGCTGTAATCCCTCCCTCATCAATTTTATCAACAGCCTCACCACCCACCAAAGAAGTCCCTCCCTCGTCAATTTTATCAACACTCTCACCACCCACCAAAGAAGTCCCTCCCTCATCAATTTTATCAACACTCTCGCCACCCAACAAATCATCCACCCTTTTTTCATTAATCACTGATGCCAACTCCTCAGGACTGTCAACCTCAGCAGGAACACCAATAGCCTCCTCGAAAGTCTCCACTTCATTTCCCACAGTCAAATTCTCATCCACCACTGCTGAACTGGAATTATCAATGGTCTCAACATTGACCACAAATTCGAATTTTTCACCCAGGTTCTGCAATTGCTCTTGTGAATCAACTGCCTCCTCGAAAACCTCCTCTTCAAAATCTTTCAATCCATCAGACCCTACCACAACTCTCTCCTCTATTTTATCCCCAAAAACATGACTTTCCACATTGTTTTCCTCTCCTGATTGTAGTCCACCAACTCTCTCAACCCCATTTTCCATTTTCAATATGGCTAAGCACAAAACCTAGATTCACCAAAAAACCAGAAAATATCAAAACAGGAACTACACAGCCAAAACACCAATAATTACAACAATTAATCATATATCAATTAAACCCATTTAGAAAGCGATTCAAACCCAAAAACCCTAATACAAAATTCCATTTCTCTTTCAAAGATGAAAGGCAAACAAAATCAACGGATCTCTAATTCAATACAGAAGATTCAAGAGGCAAACAAAAATATCAGATCTTTAAGGACCCGTTTATAACCTCTCAAATAAGGTTTTTCCAAATGAAAGCAAAAATAAATGTGATAAAAGCAATAAAATAAACAAATAGTAAATAAAAGTAAAAGAGAAAAACCTTTACCTGGTTTTGTAGATAATCTAGAAATAGATAGAGCGAGGGTTTCTTCTGTCACAATAAAATGAGAGAGAGAGAGGCGCTTTAAAGTTGCTTTTTCTTTTTTTTTCTACATCTACTGGTTGCGCCCTTTGCCTTACCAGTAGCTGAATCAAGGGGATAAGAGCTGATCGACGGTTGAGAATGAGGAGCAGGTTGTTTGATCGGACGGTGGAGGATTATATATTACATCGATATCATCGTTATAGACTCCATGAAAATAAAAATAAATCATGCTGACGTGGACAGAATAATGGGTGAAAAAAAAAAAAAAAGAGAGAGAAAAATGTTAAGCTGTCTAATAGAGTATAGGTGATGAGAAACGCCCAACGGCATATGGTGTGTCACGTATCGACAACGATGAACAAGTTGTGGACCGTCCGATTTGATTTGAAGATTGATTGATTAGGAACGTACTGCTATAAGAGAACATGTTAAATGTCTCCTTCCTCCTGTACTCATTATATTTATATCGCCGTGTTTCAAACTCCGTTTATTTGACGAAACTGTTTTTCACTGTCTCTTCAAATTGGAGTTTGCGGCGATCTCACCGTATTCAATTTTCATTCGATATTTTATTAATTTAAATTTATAAAATTAGATTTATTAAATATTTTAATTAATTTATTAAATATTCTTCCTGTACTCATTATATTTATAATCGCCGTGTTTTCAAACTCCGGTTTATTTGACGAAAACTGTTTCACTGTTCTCTTCAAATTGGAGTTTGCGGCGTATCTCACCGTATTCAATTTTCATTCGATTTTATTAATTTAAATTTATAAAATTAGTTTATTAAAATATTTTAATTAATTTATTAAATATATTAATTTATAAAATTATAATTAATTTAAAAATTTAAATATTTATTAAATAATTAAAAATATAGATAATATTATTTTAAAAGCTGTATTAACTATATATTAAATTAATATTTAATATATAAACATCAAAATCTTACAAGTTATTATTTATAACATAAAAAACATGAGGTCATTACAAAAGTGAAATTTATGGTGCAACATATCGATTTTAAAGTTCGGAACATCATTTTTTTTTTAATCAAAGTTTAGTAGTTAAATTATTTATTCAGATTAAAATATTATTTATTAATATTATCCGTCACTGTACATTGCATTTGTTCTTCTTATTATAGGTACTTGTTATTTAATTTTTAATATTTTATTATTTATTAATAATAATACTCATCTTTATTTTAATTCTCAGTACAAAAAGACAAAGTTGAACACAATAATTAATAAAATAGAATAAGATAAAATATGTACTACAGTTTGATTTTCTTTCTATTCATATTCTTTCCTCCAAAATCGAATTGAAAGATTCATAATAAATTTACAAATTTTAATTTTTATTATAATTAAAAAATAAACAATGGTAATCAAGCATTTAAGAAAATATTCACTCAATTATTTTTTAATATTACATACAAATATTAATCACCATTGTAATATTTGAGTTAAATTATTAGTCATTCAATGATATAATTTAATTTATTAGTATTAGAACCCGCGTAATGTGCGAAACAATGTTAAATGATGAAATAATATTTTATAATATCATTCAAAAATAGCAAAATTATATAATAAAATGATAAATTGTATCTCATTGAGACATGCTTAAAAGTTGTAATGCTAAGATATGTCTTCTTAAATATTATGTGAAGCCTTTCATAAGGTATGAAATAGCAAAAAGTCATGCATGGTATGACCTACATCAAAAAATGCATATACATTCTTAATATATTTTTCAATAGTAATAATAATTTTGAGAATTTAACTAATTATATTGAAATAAAATTAAATATTTTTTATTTTATATTTATGATTTATTGTAAACAATTATTTATTTATTTGAAATATTAATATATTGCTTATTTAGTGTAGTGTATCCTAAGCGTGTGGATATCCTAGTTTTTTTAAAAATCATCATATCATATACATTCTTCTATCTCGTGTATCGTGTCCGTGCAATCTAACTCTTAATATATGAGACTACTTCATACACTAAACTAATCAACCAAGATTTTTTTTTTATTACCAATAAAAAATGAAGTGTTTTTTTTTTTTTTTTATTACCAATAAAAAATGAAGTGTTTTTTTTTTTATTTGTTTTTGTCTCATTGGAATAAGAAATTAAGTTTTTTTAATTTTATATTTATATTTTATTATAATTGATTGTTTATTTATTTGAAATATTAATATATCACTTATTTAGTGTAGTGTGTCCTAGGCGTGTCGATGTTTTACCTTTTTTAAAAATTATTGTATCTCGTATATTCTCATATTTCGTGTCCAATATCCGTGTAACCTAGCTCCTAGTATATGAGATTACTCCAAACACCAAGCTAATCAACCATGGTCTTTTTTTTATTACCAATAAAAAATGAATTTTTTTTAAATTTATTTTTGTGTCATTGAAATAAGAAATTAAATATTTTTTATGTTCATGATTTATTATAAATGACTGTTTATTTATTTGAAATATTAATGTATTACTTATTTAATGTACTATGTTCTAAGCGTATAGGTATCCTACCTTTTTTAGAAATTATCGTATCCCATATATTTTTGTATCTCGTGTCCCGTGTCCTTGCAATCTAACTCATGGTATATGATACTACTCAATATACCAAGCTAAAATCAAGATTTTTTTATTACGAATGAAATTGATTTTGTTAAATTTATTTTTATGTAATTGAAATAAGAAATTAATTTTTTTTTTGATTTTGTTAAATTTATTTTTATGTAATTGTGAATAAGAAATTAATTTTTTTTTATTTTACATTTATAATTTTAGTATAAATGATTGTTTATTTATTTAAAATTATTATGGTATATGATTACTACTCAATATACCAAGCTAAAAATCAAGATTTTTTTTATTACGAATGGAATTGATTTTGTTAAATTTATTTTTATGTAATTGAAATAAGAAAATAATTTTTTTTTTATTTGTACATTTTATAATTTATTATAAATGATTGTTTTATTTAGTTTAAAATATTAATATTATTACTTATTTAGTTGTAGTTGTATCATAGTGTGTAGATGTCACCTTTGTAAAAATTGTTGTATCCGTACGTTCCTATTATTATCCTGTATTCGTGTAACGTAACTCTTGGAAATATAAGACTATTCCATTACGCCAGACTAATCAATCAAGTCAATCAAGGTTTTTTTTATTACCAATAAAAATAAAGTATTTTCTTATTTATTTTTGTGTCATTGAAATAATAAATTAAGTATTTTTTTATTTTTTGTTTATGATTTATTATAAATGATTTGTTTATTTGTTTAAAATATTAATATATATTACTTATTTGGTGTATTTATGTCTAAAGTATGTGGATGTCCTACCCTTTTTAAAAATTATCATATCCCGTACATTTCTGTATCTCGTGTCCCGTTCTGTGCAACCTAACTCTTGATATATAATACTACTCAATACACTAAGCTAATCAACCAAGGTTTTTTTTTTTATTATTATGAATAAAAAATAAGTGTTTTTTTTTGTTTAAATTTGTTTTTGTGTTATTCAAATAAGAAATTAAGTTTTTTTTTTTATTTTATGTTTATAATTTATTATAAACGATTGTTTATTTATTTGAAATATTTTTTTATTTTATGTTTATAATTTATTATAAACGATTGTTTATTTATTTGAAATATTAATATATTATTTATTTAGTGTAGTGTATCCTAAACATATGGATGTCCTACTTGTGTAAAAATTATCGTATCTCGTGATATTTTTTAAATTGTTTATATATTGTTTATTTAAAGGGATTATCTGAAAATGTAAAACAACTGATCTTCTTACAATTCTTATAACTGTGCTAAATTGTATTAGAATTATGACATCTGTCATTCTAAAATCCAAATTACTGCCAAATGGCAAATTGTGTTAGAATTTTAACATTCATCATAGACAAATAATAATTAAGTCTAAATATTAGTTTAAAAAAAAAAAAAAAACAATACCATGATCTAGCCAGAACAACTGCTAGAAGAGGCTAAACCTTTAAATTCATAGACAAATAATAAAGACCTAAAGGAGGGTCAAATATTAGTTCTTTTAATGTCAGTTATAAAATATTGCTCCTTAAAATTTCTAATTGAGTTTATTAGTTTAAATATTATTTTTTTATAACACTATTAGTTATGAGATTGGTCTTTATCTAACTCAAAATAATCTTTGAATGGAAAAAATGTGGTTTTATATCTTATGTTCATATCACATGTTGCACGTACCAATATAAAAATTTAAAAAAAATCAAAATTCATATAAAATTTTAATATATAGTTATTTAATTTTATAAAATCCATCATTCAAGTGTGTAGTTTTCTACTTATATCCAATCGTACTACTAAAAATGAGATCTTCTATGTCTAAAACTAAAATAGCCATGAGTTTTTTTTTTTTTTTTTTTCTAAAATGAGCATGAGGGATGTGAGGTTTTTTTTTTTTTTGTTGTTTTTTTTTTTTTTTTTTTTAATATTCAATTGCAATTATAACTTAACCTAACAAGTTTATGAAGTCCTGGTTTAATGGCCAAAGCCAAGGTCCTTCGTTTGGATTTAAACGTTACCCTCATCCTCTTTAATTTATAATTACACGAATAATACTAAATTTTTGAAAAAAAAATGTAGAAACATTGCAACCGAAAATCAACCTGTTGATTGAATTTTATTATATTTCTTAGAAAAGTAATAGATAAATATTTTAATTAAATAAAGAAAAATCAATTTATATTTTGACAACTCTGAATGGAATGATCCGCTATATTAATTAATTATCCATAATTGATCATACGCAACATGTTATATTTTTATTTAGCAAATTATCTGCCAAATAATGACATCATTCCTTCATAAAGTACAAAGAGATAGCAAGTTTAAAGCTCTATTTGTTTCTTGACAATAATTTATTTTTGAGAAAAAAATCATAATTTATTTCATATTTTTTTATTAAAATATTAAAAAGTAGTTAAAACTATTAAAATTTATCATTTAAATAGTAAAATAAAAAAACTGATTATTAATACTAAGGCAAGAATCAACTTATCCTTTCATACCGTACTCAAAAATTGTTCATATTGAAATTTTCAAA